GGGCCAGAAAAAATGGGAGAGAAAAATAAAAGCAGTGATGGAGGAGTTTTATGTTATAGAGCAGGCTCATAAAAAGACACAGGATAAGGAGATATATAACAAGATCACACTGAAAATAGATGAGTTAAAAGACCTAATGGAACAAGAAAGATATTTAATAGGGTGTCAAAAAAAAGATACCGGAGGGGGAATAGACCAGGAAAATATCTGATGAAAAGACTTCATGAAAAGAAAATGAAGAATTACATTGAAAAGATTAAAGATGAAAAAAAAGAGAACTGGTTTATTCCACCACCGACATCGCCAATGTGTTCCAAAAATATTATAGTAGGCTGTATGATGTGGGCTCTAAGAACCAGGAAGGTACAGAGGATAGGAAGAGGAAGAAAATACAGGACTATGTAGAGACAGCAGATTTACCAAAAATATCAGAAGAAAAATTAGCATCTTTAGAGCAACAGATCTCCCAAGAGGAAATATGGCCCTGAAGAATACAAGAGGAGGGAAGAGCCCAGGACCTGATGGATATACGGTGGGGTATTAAATAAGTTAAAATAAGTTAAATAAATTAAATTTAATGATCCCGAAACTTTGTACATATATGAATGCTCTGGGAGAGGGAATGTGGAAAGAGAAAAATCGCTACAAGCACATATAACAATTATTTTGAAAGAAGGAAAAGATAGCTCACAATGTGCTACTTATAGACCCATATCTTTATTAAATACAGATACAAAACGGTTTGCGAAAGTGCTAGCCACTAGGCTAAAAGGGCTGATGATGGAATGGATACATTTAGACCAAGTTGGATTTATCCCAGGTAGGGAGGGGAGGGACAATGGCTTAAGCACATTTCTCCTGCAAAAAGTGAAGAGAACAGTTAGATAATTTTACTGTCGATTGACGCCAAAAAAGCCTTTGACAGGGTAAATTGGGGGTTTATGATAAATACTCTAGAAGTTTTAGGAATAGGAGCTAAGATGCTAAAGTGGATAAAGGAGCTTTATAAATGGCCCAATGATTAAGGTAAATGGGTCCCTCTCTGGTTTTTTTTAGGATGTATAACGGTACTAGACAAGGATGTTTATTATCCCCATTATTTGTTATATCCCTGGAACTTTTGTGGGCAACAGTAAGAAACAGTGTAGATATTAGAGGAATTAAGGTAGAAGAGATAGACCATAAGGTAGTAGCATATGCAGATGATATGCTGTTTTACATAGTGAACCCCAGAATATCCTTACCTAATTTAATGAGATTATTAAAACAATATGGAGAGCTCTCAAATCTGAAGATAAACCCATCAAAGTCAGAGATCCTGAATATTAATGTTTCTAAGAAAGAGAGGCAGGCCCTACAAATGGATTTTCCATTCACATGGAGGGAGAAAGATCTGGGTTACTTAGGAGTAAAATTGACCCCTTCTATAAAAGAATATATATCAGGCTAATTATATTCCATTACTAAATTAAATAAAAGATGAGATGAGAAGACTCTCAAGCGGCAGGGTCTCCTGCATTGGGCGGATAAACTTGGTTAAGATGGTGATAGTCCCAAAAATGTTATATAAATTTCATATGCCTCCAGTCCACATCCCAAGATCCTTTTTTGGGATCATAAAAAAACTAATACTTAAATATATATGGGCTAAAGAGAAACAGAGAATTAGTTATGAAGTTTTGTGTAATAATAAATAGAAGGGGGGTTTAAACTTGCCCAACACTAGGAACTACTATACAGTGGTGATGCTGTCAAGAGGGGTAGACTGGACATTTAATTCACGGGGGAAAAGTTGGGTTAAAATAGAGGGAATTTTAAGTAAAGCACGATTAGAGAGGATTATTTGGGTCCAACGAAAGTTTAGTATTATAGATGAGATTAGTAGCACTTTGACACGAAATGTTAAAATTATGGGATGGAATGCAAAAACAAGTGGGTTGGAAATATAATTAATTATTGATTCCTCTGGTGGGCATAGAATTTAATCTACCAGGGAAAGACAATATCTTGGGCAAATGGTTTAAGGATGGGGATATACGATTAAGGGATATAGTAGATAAAGGGAAGTTGTGCACTTTAAGATTTAAAAAACAAAGAAGAGTTATTTGTAGTATTAGATGAATTTAGATATCATCAACTGAGACACTGTTTCAGAGTTGACTCAACCGCTGAGGGCGCCGGAGGACATGCTCCCATTTGAAAAAATGTTGGGTGCGGATATAGCCCCAAAACATGTCACCTCTAGGATATATAAGATTCTTACCCCCCTCCGGCATTCTTAAGAGAAGTGGGAGGGGGAACTGGGAAAAAAAAATGCGTGAACAACAGAAAAATAAAATGTTTAAATTAACACATGGGGGCAACGAATATGAGCATAGTTGAAATGAATTATAAATGTTTTAAAAGATGGTATCTGACACCGAGTGTAGTACATAAATTGAAGGAAGAAGTATCACCGCTGTGTTGGAGAGGATGTGGACTTAAGGGAACAATGTCACATATATGGTGGGACTGTCCAAAAAAAAAATGTTTTCTGGCAAGATATAATACAGCTAATACAGGAGATCCATTATCTCCTGCGCTCAAGGACTCAGATCAAACAGGCGTCAGTGACAAGCAGCGTGTTGTGTATTCATCCACTGGTGATCAGAGGTTGTGCAGCTCTATCATGAAGCTGGGGAAGCTTAATAAAACTGTAGAGGAAGATGAAAAAGAGCGCACAAACCTTGCGCATTACCTCAATAAATAGTGACTAATTTTATTAATAAGGAAATATACTCACAAAATGGTTGTATAACAGGCATAAGTAACCATAATCGAAACAGGGTTACAGGTAACTCAAAAAGGGGGGGGGGGGGTATGAAGGCTAACGCGTTTCGAAGGGTGCTCCCTTCTTCATCAGAGCTGGGTTTGGCAGATAGAAACTTCAGTATGGCAGAGTTCCCATGGCAAGGAGATATTCAGCCACTGAGTGTCAGTATTACAGCAGTTCAGCCTGTTTAGACACTAAACAGGCTGAACTGCTGTAATACTGACACTCAGTGGCTGAATATCTCCTTGCCATGGGAACTCTGCCATACTGAAGTTTCTATCTGCCAAACCCAGCTCTGATGAAGAAGGGAGCACCCTTCGAAACGCGTTAGCCTTCATACCCCCCCCTTTTTGAGTTACCTGTAACCCTGTTTGGATTATGGTTACTTATGCCTGTTATACAACCATTTTGTGAGTATATTTCCTTATTAATAAAATTAGTTACTATTTATTGAGGTAATGCGCAAGGTTTGTGCGCTCTTTCTTTCATCTTCCTCTACTAATACAGGAGATCCTGGGGAATAATATACAGAAAGATGCGTGGGTGTGCTTATTTTATAAGCCAGAGTCATCAGTGAAACAGTATAAGAAAAAGTGTGTTATATCACCTGATTAGTGCGGCCAAAGGACTTATCCCCAAATTTTGGCAGAGACAGGAACCCCCAAAAATGAGGGATTGGATAGATAGGGTCGAATATATAAATAAGATGGAGGCACTGTACCACATAGATGAAGATAAAATGAAAACGTTTAGAGAAGAATGGGGTAGATGGTACAAGTTTAAAACATGAGAAATATTTGGAATGAGTGAAAAGCCCCAATGGCCTGAAGTAGGAGAGTTAATTGGAATAAAAGGAAAAGAAAAGAGAAGGGAGAAAAGCAGAGAAAAAGGGAAGAGAAGGGAAAGGAAAGAAAAAGATGAACGGGAGGAAGAGTAGGAAAAGATGGTTAGAAAGAAACAAAAATATAGACTGGAATTACGGAAAGAAACGAGAAGATGCATATGGACTGGGGTTAATTGAGGTATGGGGGGGGGTGAGGAGAAGGGAGTGGGTGACATAGGTGAAGTGTCTGTTACTTTTTATAGGAATATATTATACTGCTAAGCTTTTCTATGTTTTGAATGAATTGTAATGAAAAATGTAATAAAAATTAAAAAAAAAAAATTAATGGCAGCTCAAGAAGGATGCACATGCTCTCGGAGAGCTCAGGTGTGAATTGGCCCCAACAGTCCAAAAATAAAAAAAAATATCAGCTTTGCTCTGATGATGTGATCACTATGAGAGCCAAATCATGAGGTTTGTTTACAAATCACTGAAGATTAACGTGTGAAGAAAAATAAAAAAAATTACGAGAAACTTGTTACTAAAATATGCATATTTGTCAGCTTACATTACAAAAAAAAAACCATGAGCAGGATATTTATTTAAAATTTGTATCAAATAAAAGGAAATTAATTTAGGTAGGCAAATATGTCAGAGTTGTTGTCAAGTTCACTGATGCATACAGACACAGCTATATTTACTCTGGGCATCTAAGCTTTGGTGACCTTGAGTCATGAAAGGCTTCATTCTGGTATTCTAACATTTTAGACATTTAGAAATAAAAAGTAGCTAAGTACGTGAATTAAAAAGTAGCATGAAAGAAAGAAAAAAAAAAATAATACAAAGACTACCCTTAACATGTGACACTCAAAAGTAAAAATAACAGTGCATTCTTGCTACAGAGACATGCTTGAGATAAACAATATTTTGTATTTTTTAACAAAATGACAGTAAGTTGATGGATGTTTATTGACTAACAGTATAAATGACATGAAAGTTCTGATAATTTATTACAAGGAAAAAAAAAAAAAAAAAAAAAAAAAAAAAAAAAAAAAAAAAAAGGGGGGGGGGGGGGGGGGGGGTGTGAAAATACAGCCACACTTGTAAAATACTTCCCAAATACATCCTGCTAATGTTCCAATTTCTGCTTCTCCTCAATGTGAAGACAAATTTTTCAAAGCTTGTCACATCCAAAATAAGTCACTATTTTGCTTCAGTTATTAGAATAGTCCTTAGTACACTGATAGACAATACACCAGCACCATCAGTGGATTTTATATTACAAGGAATAGGTCTGTGCTTGCAATGGGCACATTGCTTGATTACCAAGCCATCATACAGTTGGATCAAAGAAAGATCTTAGGTCTAGGAACTGCTGGGCTTGCCCGAGTGTGCGCCCATCCGTTGGGGATCTTGAGATGGATAATGTATATGGCCAGGAGCCCGAAGGAATGGAGGTGGTGCCATAGGAGGGAACATATGTGGGCCAAATCCTGTTAAAATAAAAATACTTCGTCATCATGTAAAGTTTTACAAAAGGCAATCTATTTAAAATGGAACCATTTAAAAAAAAAAATGCAAGCAAATGTGCTGTTTTTCTGCAATGAAAGCTTCTTACCAGTGTGTATGCAAATTGTGCTAACACCTTTTAAGCAGTTACAGAAACAGTTTTTCCCCCTTTTAGGAATAAAGATTTTAATAAAAAGCTGACCATTGTAAGCAACCCTGTCAGTGTTAAACGAGAAGTACAACCAAAGCTTGTTTGGCTGTACTTCTCCTGTGGATCACATGAGTGCAGTTCGTTCTGCACTCCTGTCACTTGTTTTCAGCTGACAGCAGGCTGAAGGTCAGAGCAGACAGTGGTTCTCTGCTCATGAAGCACTGAGCAATAAGCGGTCTTTGATTGTTCTGTTCTCAGTCTCAGAGCCAGCGGGGGAACAATGCTGCATCCACCTAGATAAGTATGATTTCTTTAATAGAGAGAAGAAAAAAAAAAAAAAAACACAACACCTCTTTTAAATGGTTTTTCTCAACCCTCTAACTTTCCCCCACTTTTGCTGCACAGCCTGGTCTGTCAAATGAAGCTGAAAAGATAATAGCAGGATGAAAAGGTAAAAAAAAACAACCAAAAAAATAACTATGCTACAGTGGGAAAAACAAAGCCTGTGTTGTGAATGTTAGTGACAGACTGTTATATATGTAATATTTTATTCTGCCTTTAGTACCACTTTACGTTATGTTAATAAATACAAACACAAGCAATAAAAAGGATTACAAAAATGTACTTACTGCATTCATATAAACGAAAACTACAGTATTAGGGAATTGCAGTCTTGTTGATTTTTACTGAATTTCCCAGCTAAAAATGTATCAGCAGGAAGATCATCGCCAATACAGTACCTTGAAAAAAAGTATTCCATACTCCTTTGTCATGTTACAACCAAAAACATGAATGTATTTTATTGGGATTTTATGTGATAGATCAACACAAAGTGGCACATAACTGAGAAGTGGAAGGAAAATGAAATGGTTTTCAAAATTGTTTACAAATAAATATCTGAAAAGTGTGGCAGGCATTTGTATTCAGCCCCCCTGAGTCAATACTTTGTAGAACCAACTTTGACTGCAATTACAGCTGCAAGTCTTTTTGGGGATGTCTCTAACAGCTTTGCACATCTAGAGAGTGAAATGTTTGCCCATTCTTCTTTGCAAAATAGCGCCGGCTCTGTCAGATTGGATGGAGAACATCTATGAACAGCAATTTTCAAGCCTTGCCACAGATTCTTGATTGAATTTAGGTCTGGGCTTTGACTGAGCCATTCTAACACATGAATATGATTTGATTTAAACCATTCCATTGTAGCTCTGGCTGTATGTTTAGGGTCGTTGTCCTGCTGGAAGTTGAACCTCCGCTCCAGTCTTTTGTAGACATGTTTTCTTCATCCATCTTTCATCAACTCTGACCAGCTTCCCTGTCTGATTAAAAGCATCCATACAACATGATGCTACCACCACGTTTCACAGTGGGGATGGTGTGTTCAGGGTGATGTGCAGTGTTAGTTTTCCACCACACATAGCATTTTTCTTTTTGGCTTTTTTTTTTTTTCTCTACTAGTAATGGCGGCGATCAGAGACTTATAGTGGGACTGCGGCGGGCATTCTGACACTGGGGAGGAACAAACTTTGTGTCACTGACATCCTCAGAGACACCAATACAGTGATCAGTGCTAAAAAAAAAAAAAAAAAAAGCACTGACACTATACTAATGGCACTGGGCAGGAAGGGGTTAACAAGAGGGCGATCAAAGGGTTAACTGTGTGCTTGGAGTGTTTTACTCGGGGGCCGTGTGTCAGTGTGCTTCACTGTAAGCACACTGCTCTGGCTGGCTGGCAAGCCAACAGGGAGGAGGACTGTTAGTAAACAAAGGACTCGTCGGAGATACTCAGTAATCACCGGGCGCTCAGGTGGGAGAATCTGTCCACAGGACATTAATTAGTTGTGCACTCTACAAATCTGGCCGTTATGGAGGAGTGGCAAGAAGAAAGCCATTGTTGAAAAAAGCCGTAAGTCCCGTTTGCATTTTGCGAGAAGCCATGTAGGGGACACAGCAAACATGTAGAAGAAGGTGCTCTGGTCAGATGAGACCAAAATTGGGGGGGGAGTGGGTGTATTCTCCCTGCTGGTCTCTGCCTTCGCAAGATTGAAAACTCAGCACCAGTGATTGTTCTTGAGCCGAGGCCGGAGAGTGTGTACAACTGAGGGATTGTGTGACATCACATCTCTGCCTACTATTCTCTGGTCCTAAGCCACGCCCACAGACCAGCAGTTTTTGGAGGGCTGAGACAAGCCAAGGGAACATTTTTCTGAGGTACACTCGCAGCTGTATCTATACATTAAAATGTATTAATTTATGGCAAAAAGTTAATTTTTTTATAATTGCATTTACAACCACTTTAAAGAGGGACTGGATTCGAATTTGAAAAGTTACTAGGACCAACACTCTTGGCAAAAAAGTCAAGCTAAACCTCGTCAGAATTACCAGATTTGGCAAGTTTTTCAGAAAGCTTATTGGCAGCCTCTGCTCGTGAGTCTGTGTGACATCCCACTCATGTTCTAATGTGTGGTGTGTGAGATAGCAAGCAGCACCAAGGTACTGCATAATTCAAAAGACCTGCACTTTTGTAGGCTTAGACTTTAGATAGGAAGACTCAGCACTTATGTTGTATCTCCTGAGTCAGTTTAAATGCATTTTGGTATTTTTGACTGAGATAAAGCAGACAACACTCAAATATCAACACAAAGCTATGTTAAATTGTATGTAATCCGAACAATGAGCTATTCCTGTTTGCTCCCTCCTTCTGGACTATCCAAATATGCCACTGGAAGCACTTTAAGAATGTTTAATAAGTGACAAAAAAAAAACCAAAAAAAAAAAAAAAAACCTTTGGATTGTCAGAAATTCAGATCTGCTCTGTGCACTGTTATCTTAAATCGTCGTCCTGGTTCTCATCATGGATTACAGAATGATTAGCCTTTATGCTATGGATATCTGACAGTAGGAGTGGTTCGGTAGTTTAGCAAAAATACTGTGTAGGGCTGACAACTCTAAGTCCACAAAAAAAAAAAAAAAAAAAGCTTTCTGCTGTCAGTCCACAATGACTAAGACTACGGCAACATTTTCTACAGAAAAGGTAAGCATGTTAGAAATGTTACTTTTTTTAAACCTGTAACAAAAACTTTATAATAGTTGCATACAAGCTAAAGCTTGTCTTAATTTACCAAATTACTTATTAATATGATCCATGGGTTTTTGGTTCATACTGTAAAAGGAAAAAAAACCCAATATTACCTGGAGGTGGACCTGTTAAGCCAGGAGGAGGCAGTGCTATGTTAACCAAAGCAGGAGATCCATTTGGAGGAAGATTAAAGTAATTAGCAGTAGCTTCCTCTTCTGTTGGTGGAGGAGGCAATGCTGTAGACAAAACAAATATTTACAGTATAAACAATGAAACCATAGCAGATCTGTAAAAAACTTACTCTATTGGCAAATAAAAGGGAGAACAGTGGCAGTGTATCAAACTAACACAGAGGACCAAGGTCAGAGTGGGAAGAAAACCCTAACTGTAACTATTCCTAAAACATTTCCCTCCTATCTATCCTGCCTAAACCTGTTCAAAAATTATTTGTGTACTTACCATTTTCAAACTGCTCTGGTCATGTGATTTTGCAGATCTGTGTAAGGGATTGCTCGATAATGGCTGAGATTTCCCGCCCGGAGCCGCAATATCACCCATAGGCTAAGTTGCTTTGGGAAAACTTGGCCACAGGTATATCAATTCAAGAAGCATTAAATCAGATGGAGACCAGTACGTCTGTGCAAGGGTTGCCACCCCCCCTCCGTTTCTCAGAAAGCAAGTAAAAAAATCCCACAAAGTGCAGTATTATAAAAGCACCTTCATTTATTAAACACAGCAGTGGACTTACATATTAACATGTGTGTTCAGTCTCAGCTTACCACACACATCATGGCTGCCTGTATAATCAGTGCACAGACAGTGCCTCTGCTATTCTGGGGAAGCTGACAACTTATGTTCATTACTGAATCCTGTTAATATGCAAGTGAATTTCTGTTTCTTCTAAATGAAGGTGCTTCTATAATTCTACACTATGTGGGATTTCTTTTTACTTGCTTTCTGAGAAACCATGAGGAGGAGCAACCCAAGCACAGACAAGCTGGTCTCCACTTGATTTAATGCTTCAACAGATATACCTGTGGCCAAGTTTTTCCAAAGCGATTTTGCTTTTGAGAGAGATTGGCAATAAACGTTGGTGAGATTGTGTACAACAGGTGGTGGAGGAAAGCACTACTATGATTACTAGTTTTGTCTAAAGAGAGGACTTTTGTAAAACTATTGGGTAGATGTCTTTTTTTTAAAGTGTGCTGCAATAGAGGTATAGGTGGATACTGCAGTGGGCCATGTCAGCATGAGGTAGAGAAATGGCAATACACTGATCCTTCGAAGAGAGAGTTGTGCAGGGGGTGTGGGTTAGCATAAGTCTTGGCCACTGGAGGACAGGCAGGTTGTGCTACCAGCAAAGCCAGAAAACTGACCACAGTGTGATGAATGTGCTTCTATGCCTAGCATGGTCAGTTTTAAATAGGAAAGCAGGAAGACTGTCAGGATCTCCAGGTATTTCACACAAAGGAAGCAATGCAAAGAGAACAGGATTCTTTTTAAAACAAGTATGTGGAACAACAGACACATCAGGAATATGAACTGGTGGGGTAATATACTCTTTAACCACTTCAATACTGGGGCACTGTCACTCCTTTCCTGCCCAGGCTATTTTCAAGTTTTGAGCACTATATAAACAAAAATATACCGAAAATTTTGAATTGTAATGAAAATAGAAATTATAGAGTCTACAAACTATGGTATACACTATATTGCCAAAAGTATTGGGACACCCCTCCAAAGCATTGGATTCAGGTGTTCCAATCACCTCCATGGCCACAGGTGTATAAAATCAAGCACCTAGGCATGCAGACTGCTTCTACAAACATTTGTGAAAGAATGGGTCACCCTCAGGAGCTCAGTGAATTCAAGCGTGGTACCGAGTGATAGGTTACAACCTGTGCAATAAGTCCAAATTTCCATGCTACTAAATATTCCACAGTCAACTGTTAGTGGTATTATAACAAAGTGGAAGCAACTGGGAACAACAGCAGGTAGGCCACGTAAAATGACAGAGCTGGGTCAATGCATGCTGAAGCATGGATATGCACAAAGGAGCAGATACCGGTCCTGTTAATGGGTTAAAGACCTTCTACGGCCCTGTCCAGACCTCCTAGAGTAACTGCCCATCTCCTGGAATCTCCTCCATGGTCTTGAGGCTGTGCTGGGAGACACAGCAAACCTTCTGGCAATGGCATATATTGATGTGCTATCCTGGAGGAGTTGGACTGCCTGTGCAACCTCTGTAGGGTCTAGGTATCGCCTCATGCTACCAGTAGTGACACTGACCCTAGCCAAATACAAAACTAGTGAAAAACAGAAAAGATGAGTAGGGAAACAAATGTCAGTGGACTCCACCTGTAAAACCATTGCTGCGTTGGGGATCATCTCATTGTTTCCCATCTAGTGCACCTGTTAATTTCATTAACACCAAAAGAAGCTGAAACTGATTATTAACCCCCATTTTTTCTGAAGGATCTACAATGAGATTGCAGTTTCAAAATCCTCTCCTTGTGAAGCAGGATTATGGCAATATAAAACACAGTCTCATGTTCAATTGTTATAGATTAAAAAAATAAAATACAATGTTCAATTTGACACGTTGGGAAGCCTTGCTGTAGGACAAAACTCAGCAAAATCATATCAGGAAGTTGGGTACAAGCTGGATTTTCAGATTTTTTACTGAATCGCCTAATAAATTGCTCATATTATTTTCAATACTGTGTCTGGCGCAGAGGTTTCATGTATATTGGTGACAGAAAAATAAAAGTCTGCTATAGTAGACGGAAGCGTGTTACTGCAGTACACTGGTTTTTAGCGGCTTTAATGCAAGGCACTGCAGACAACTTTTATCCCCGGTTTAATGCGACTTTGAGATTGGACTACGGTGCGTGACTTCATTGCCACTTGCTGCCACTCAGTGAAACTTTAATAACAGAGGACAATGCAAGTCGCAATGAAGTTGCACAAAAAATATTGCAGCCCTTTTTTGAGTTGCAGTGATTAGAACAGTTCCACTGAAAGATATGGGATGCAACTTGTCATGCAACTTCGAACTCGCATGACAAGTCGCACTGATGTGAACCAGGGCCTAGTGTTAAACTTTAAAGAATAATATTTAGACGAACACTCTACATTAACCCTTTTAAAATCATCCTTCCAACTCTAACACTCCCTAAACATGGATACCTACCATCTACGCTTGAAATACCCTGCACCAACTCCTTACAGTCTCCACACTGAGATTTTACTGCACCAATATCCCAGGACAAAATAATGTGTGTTGTTGACAAGTTAGTTCTACCATATAAATATATCTTGTTCTTATTCCTTTCTGCAAATTACAGGTTAATCTCCAGCCTGCCTTGTGTAGTTGTGGCACTAACTCTGTTGTGTATATACTCAATTAGATAACCCCACAATAATATACTACCTTGGAAACCAATGTTGCAATGTTCTTATGATGCCTGAAGAGGAGTATGAGGCTGCCACTTACACATGTGCTCTATATGAACTGTAAGTGAAAAGCCATTAAATATGTTCTCAGTATCCCCAGCAGTAATTACTAATTTCCCTACAAAAAGCAGAACATGAAAAAAACACACTGGCAAGATTTTGATCAAAATTGTACCTCCAGGGAGACCAGGGACAGGTTCAAGTTTCAGTCCAGAATCTGTAACACCTTCTCGCTCTCGCTCTTTCCCTCGGGCAGCCTGAGATCTACAATATGAAGGGAAATAATGTGTGACAAAAACCAAGATGCTTGAACCAGCTGCTGATAGATTGCTATGCAAACTTAAAGCGGTATTAAACCCAAAACCAAAAAATGTAATATATTGCAGCTTAGCAATCATTAGATGTGGTGGCTACATTGGTATTCTTTTTGTAAGGCTTTTTTCCTGTTTTCGCCTGAGCTGGTCAGTAACACACTTCCTGTACTACAGTTCTTCCACTCTGGACGACGGAGCACAAGGGCACCTTTGGACAGCAGCATTAATAATCTGGGGAGGGGAGTTTTAGATGCACTAGCAGATTTAGATACACTAACAAATGAAGCTGAACCCCAGCTAACATTTTTTTAAGCAGTCAAAGCAAACAGTTTTGTTCCTTTCAGAATAAAGGTTTTACATAAATAAAGTAAAAGCTGATCATTGTAAGCACTTTTGCCAGTGGTAAATGGTTTGCCTTAACCCTTTAACTTCTACGTCTGCAGAACAGCTTGTTCTGTTAAACAGACATACTGGCAGGATCACCAGGTAAAAAAGGAAAGAAAGCCTAAAAAAGAAAATGAATGCAGCCATCACATCTAAGAAGCTGCAATATGTTTGCTTTTGGGTCCACATGTGTTGTTTCATTTTTCCACAGGCCCTGATGAAGGGGGCAGAGGAACAGCCCATGAAATGCTTTGACTTTTACAACAATTTATCACTGGGATACTCAATTTCTAAATTACCCATCCCTTTGAGAAAAACCAATCACTCTTGACTTTGAAAAACTATTAAATTGTCTCAGTTCATTTCTATCCTAAAATGGCTCATGATGTACAACAAAATTTATAATCACCTTAACAGCAAATATTAATACAATGATAACTTTTTGTTTTGTAAAGGTTTAACTTCTAGATTCATTTATTAGTGTTAAAATTGTAGGCAAAATCTAGTTTGGCAAATAAACTTAAGTCTGAAAAAACACATAGTATTGCAGGAGACTGTAAAAATGGACATTGCAGACTATCCATTCTGATGCATTTCCCACCATACTGACAGGTGTTGGTTTAATAATAATAACAAAAAAAAAAAAAAAGAAAAAACCCTTAAGCCACACTTTGATTACAAGGTAAGATTTCAGTATTAAAGATTCAGGCTACTCCATCTATATATAAATTTGCAGTTTTGGGTTAAGAGCATTTCCTATACTTAGCCAAGACACCCAAGCCATCTGGCAATATTCAAATTATATGATGCTAAAAACCGGTTAAATAAACATGTATGGAGGTAATAAAACAGATGAAGAAAAAAAAAATGTAGGTTCTAGCATACCCAAATTATCATCTTAAAATAAAATAGGCATGGACTATAATAGTTGAATTTTTAGTGTGCCTATTCCAAGGTCACTCACCTTCCCCACTTGACATTGAGTCGACGACCGTTCACAATTAGCTTGTTAAAGGATTTCTCTGCTGCCATTTCTGCCGACTGCCTGGTAGCAAACTGAATAAATGCACACTGTTGTCGCTGAACTACTGTAATCGTTCGGATTTCACCAAACTGGTAAAAGTGATTCCTATGGGAAGAGAGAGTTCATTATTTTATTCATCAGCTATAGAAAACCACCAGACTTTATAAAATCTAAGACGTAGATAGATGAAACAAAACATCTACCTGAGCTCAGACTCGCTGATGTTATCACCTAGCCCTCCAACATATAGAGTGGTGATGCTTTTGTCTTCTGGAGGGTCTAGGCGGGGCATTGTAGAAGCCCGTTTTAATAATTTGTCTGCTACAGGGTCATTAATACCATAATAACGGTCTTTGATATTCTGATCTGCAAGAGGGTCATCAGGATCTGTTGGCTTCTCATGCCTGCAAACAAAAAAAAAGAAAAAAGAAAAACACCAGATGTGAAGATCTCTGTATAACAGTTAAAACAAGTCCCAAATCCATTTACTATTTGATGCAAAGGCCACACACACACAGGTAAAACACACATCCATTTACCTTTCCTAAGTACTTGTTCACATGTATGTGGATTGGATGCAGTTTGAACCGCATCCAATCTGCATGACATGTGAAATAACATTGCTTCCTAAGTTACCTATTCATATATGTCCGGTGCACTGGCAGTGTGGATTGAAAAAGAGTGCAGTCTGGTTCAGGTGCATATTACAGGCTATTGACTTCTATAGCAACCATTTCTAAACCGCACATGTGTGAACAGGATAAAATCCTGACCTGAACTTGACCCTGATGTAAACCTGACCAACTACTGTATCAATTAGCTGTGAAACCTGAGCGTCAATCCACACTGCATATGTGTAAATCAGCTCTCATCCGTGTCTTCAATGATCCCACTCCCACAAAATGCAGCTTACACTGGGAGGGTTTCAGCAACAGAGGCAGTTCTGTCAATTCAGAAGGCAGTGGGCAGGAGTAGGCATTGTCAGCTGCTGATTAGCAAGCTACAGATTTGTGAATTTACAGTGACAATGCTGATAGCTACTGCATTTGGTGGACTTCAGTGGCAGGCTCAACAGTTTTGTAGAAGTTTGCAGGCAGATTAACACCTAGACATCGACCAGACACAAATAAATTGCCTCATTACACCGGGCCTTATGCAGTGGGGCCGCATATTTGTGTATCTCCCTTTGTGCTGGGAGAGCGCCACACAGACCAGTGTCTTACTGTGAGCCCTGGGTCCCGTACGCATGATCAGCAGCCAGAATTCATGATTCCAGGCCACCTGATCACTGTGATAGCCTTTCAGAGAGAGGGTAAAAAAAAACACAACATTGTGTAAAATAAAAAAATATTAAAAAATAAAAAAATAAATAAAAAATACCTATATCAAAGTTTGATCTAGGTCAGTGCCAGGGTTAGTGTTTGGGTCAAGGTCAGTATATTTTGGACAGGATTTTTTTTTCCTTTAATTTCATATCAGTTAGTGTCAGTGTGTTTTAGGTAGGACCAAAAAAAAAAAGAAATACAAATATTATATATATATATATACATACACACATATACAGCAAAATGTGCACTATTATTTCTGGGCTGTACTGTGGGTACAAACAAATAACACGCATATGCGGAATTGTTTCAATTGTCAGGAGAATTTATCTTGAGTTGTTCTTTGGTGGTAGGTTATGGTAGTAACAAGACATTTACAGCTAGGATTTGAAAAAGAAAATGATTTTGGGCAAGGTTTCCTTTGATAATTTAAAAAAAAAAAAAAAAACCCAGGAGATATCCGTTACCATTTACCACCAAATGAAGCCCAATTTGTCCTGAAACCCCCCCCCCCCCCCCACAAGGTACAATTCACCTGGATGTACAAAGTAGTTGTGATGATATGTACAGATTTACTAACACATATCAAAGTTGCAAAATTGTGCTTAGGCATTAGGATTTGTTTTACCCTTACGCTTGAAGGGGTCAACAGCAAATTAGGTGCTGCAGCACATATATTTTTAATGGGACAAATGTGACTTTGTTCTGTCTTTCTAGGTGTTGATGTTCTTGAGATGACATGGCGTATAGCGCACCAAAATTAAATCTCCCCCCTCCACCAGGAAAGGAATATTTGTCCTTTTATGCACACAGGAATTTTTTTTTTTTTTAAATTCTTTATATATGGATTTCAAGTCATACAGGAACAATTCAATCCAGTAGACTTTACAATAAAATGGTATGCTCAGATCTGTCACTAGATCCTACACAGGGAAGTAATGCACTAGTCAGTATCAGTAGATGCATACTGGACCCTTAAAGCCATTGAGATACTGTATATATCCACTCACAGAGTACAAGTATAAGGAAAACATGAAATGGCTCTAATTTTTACTATTACATTTATTTTCTGAAAATGGTTACCTTGTAAAATACATTCCAAGTATGCATATTTTCGGAATCAGCTTTAATCTGTACTGTGAAAATGCTGGCCAATAAAGTTAGGTTCACCTGTTAAAGCACTGCCAATTCTCAAAGCCCTTGAAGCTTCATGACAAATATCGGAATCTCTAAGGGAAGCTGTACAGCAAATGATCACAATTCCTACCCAGAATTTGAATACACTCCCTACATCTTCTATGGGCAATTGATTCTTAAAACACAGGTTAAAGCATAACTAAAAGGCAAACCTTTATTCTTAGTTTTGGATAGAGAAGAGAAAGATTTTAATGCCTGTCAGGTTTTTTTTTTTTTTTTTTTTTTGCAATCTGTACCCCCATAGAGGGATTCACCTTCTCTATCTGTCCTGTTTACCATCTAGTTATGGTAACAACCAAGGACTCCCCTCATTTTGGAGAGATTTCCACTCACTTCCTGTTTTAGCTATGGGACATCTCCCCAGTGAGGCGATACAAAATTAAAAAAAAAACAAACACACTGAAATGCTGCAGTGTTTATTAGCAGTATGACGGATGATAAAAAAAAACAAGCATAGCACAAGCATTTTTTGAAAGAGAGAAATGGCATTTTTTTTAAAACTATAAACAAACTGCTTGGTATTTGTACTCACCTGTATGGGCACTCCTCTCCTCTTTTACATTCTCCTTTCACCCAAAAAGAACAGATGTGTGGACGGTTACGCTTGTAGTAAGGGGTAGTACGAGCCAGTTTTAGGAGCATGTCACTGCTTGATGTGGCTTTGCCTAATGCTCCAACTGCGCGAGAGCCATCAGAATTTGAAATCTATCAGGAAATAAAACTGAGGTTTTTCTAAAGTAGAACACGTCTCAAAGTACAGTTACTTCTTTAGTATATTTCCTAAGTAAACCTGTTTGATTCAGTCTTTCACAACACACACAATTATACAGTTAGGTCCATATATATTTGGACACAGGCACAATTTTCATACTTTTGGCTCTGTATGCCACCAGAATAAATTAAAACGAAACAAGCCAAAATGAATTTGAAGTGCAGACTTTCAGCATCAATTCAAGGGGTATCAAGTACAAATTTTAGGAACTGCAAGCATTTTTATACACAGGCCCTCCATTTTCAAATGTAATTGGACAAATTAATACAATCATAAATAAAATGTTAATTTTTAATATTTTGTTGAGAATTCTTTATTGGCAATGACTACCTGAAGTCTGGAACCCATGGACATTACCAAAGACTGGGCTTCCTCCTTTCTGATGCTTTGCCAGGCTCTAACTGCAGCTGTCGTCAGTTATTTTTTGTGGGTCTTTCTACCTTTAGTTTTGCCTTCAGCAAGTGAAATGCATGCTCAATTGGGTTGAGATCAGGTCATTGACTCAGTGATTGCAAAATATTCCACTTCTTTTCCTTCAAAAGGTCCTGGGTTGCTTTTGCAGTGTGTTTTGGATCATTGTCCATCTGTACTGTGAAGTACCATCTGAAGGGATTAGCCCCTAAGTTTGATGTTCCACCATCTTGTTTCTCTTAGCCAAAGTCCTTCCATCTTAAATGAATCAGCATCAAAAAGAATTGACTTTCTTGTTTTAAACGGTATTTTGTCAGGAGTTAAGAAGTTCCTCTTTTTCTTGTCCAGGTGCAACTTCCCCTTTTTCCCTTAACTAGCCTAAGACTGAAAGTCTGCAGTGAGCTACATCCTGTTGAAAGAGTATTAATAATTTTAAGCCAACGGTAAAAAAAGGAACTGTCTGCTTTCTGAAGGTGTCCGAAAGTTCAAGCATTGACGTATATACGAATAATTAACATAAATGCAACTGATTGGGCATGAGTGACGTATGTAATATTCTAATTGGTTAAATGCATACCTGTCAATTGATTGGTTCTTATATTTTCTATGCTTTGTTTTAAGTTTTCATATATAAGTTTAAACACGGAAGAATAAATTCAGTTCATTCTGAGATACTACTTTGTGTCTGTCTGCCATTCCTTTGTGTCTCAGGTGAACTCCGGATCCCCACGTGGGTAATTGTTGGTCAATGCCACGAGGCTGACGGAAGTCAGTGCAAGAAGGGAACGAGAGAATCAATTTCCTTTCACCATCCAATCAACTTTGCTGCATTTGGCTAAATCTGGGCTGACAATATATCTCTAAACACTGTAGAATTCATTCGACTGCTTCGGTCTTCTGTCACATCAATAAACACCATTGACCCAGTGTCACTGGAAGCCATGCATGCCCATGCCATCACACTGTCTCCACCATGCTTTACAGATGGCGTTGCGCGTTTTGGATCATGAGCCGTTTCAAGCCTTCTCCACACTTTTTTCTTCCCGTCATTCTGGTACGGATTAATCTTAGGCTAGTTATACATTATACAATTTTCTGTTCAATTTCTGCCCAATTGCCTTATGATTTGCCTTCAACTATGTAGTACAAGGGCCTGCCTAATTGGATACAATTGAAAGTGTTGTTTAGGTTTGACCTCATAGTATGTGGTTTTTGGTCAAGCTAAAGCAAAATTCTCAAGAAAATTGTGTAATGTATGGTCAGCCTTAGTGTTATCCATCCAAAGAATGCTTTTCCAGCTTTTTTAGATTTTTTTTTGGCAAAGTCTAATCTGGCTTTTCTATTCTTCAGGCTTATAAATGGTTTGCACCTTGTGGTGAACCCTCTGTATTTGCTCTCCTGAAGTCTTCTCTTGATTGTAGACTTTGACAATGATACGCCCACCTCCTGGAGAGTGTCCTTCACTTGTCTGGATGTTGTGAATGAGGTTTTCTTTATTATAATAAAAATGTGAAAAATATACAAATCACAAATAGCGCAAAAAACAAAAACCACACAACTAAATATAACCACCACCAAATAAGTGCATATTAATAGTGCAAACAAAAAAATCAATAAATAGGGAATCTCAATATAGTCCATTCAGAAAAGTCCATATAAACATGATCCTCAATAAATGAAGTAATGAGATCCTCCTTCATAAGCAATGTGGTATTCAGTGCTCAAAAACACCCCATCAAAATGCACACTCACCATGTGCTAGTAATTAACCAGCATGTCAGTATATATCCAGCATTCACCAATCAGACTTCAAAGGACGATCCTCATGTGTTGGTAATTACTCAGCATACTACTGTGTATCCAGCATATCACCAAACAAACTTCAGAGAAGATCCTCTCATATCCAGATTAGCACATGTGGGTAAAGAAAATACTCGCCATAGTGCAGTATCATCCACATTGTAAGTGTGATTTTAAGGGGGTTTGTTTTGGCAATAAATTTGTTGGCTGATACTGCACTATGGCGAGTATTTTCTTTACCCACATGTGCTAATCTGGATATGAGAGGATCTTCTCTGGAGTTTGTTTGGTGATATGCTGGATACACAGTAGTATGCTGAGTAATTACCAACACATGAGGATCGTTCTTTGAAGTCTGTTTGGTGAATGCTGGATATATACTGACATGCTGGTTAATTACTAGCACATGGTGAGTGTGCATTTTGATGGGGTGTTTTTGAGCACTGAATACCACATTGCTTATGAAGGAGGATCTCATTACTTCATTTACTGAGGATCACGTTTATATGGACTTTTCTGAACGGACTATATTGAGATTCCCTATTTATTGATTTTTTGTTTGCACTATTAATATGCACTTATTTGGTGGTGGTTATATTTAGTTGTGTGATTTGTTTTTTTGCGCTATTTGTGATTTGTATATTTTTCACATTTTTATTATTTTGAGTTTTTTAATAGCAGCAGCATCCAGTGAGTGTATTTCCTCTCTTTATTACATTGGCACAATGATGTTGGTATAATAGAAGTGTTGTATTTATTGGAACATTTCTTTGGTAACTAACTTTTTAGTGAGGTTTTCTTTATTATAGAGAGGATCCTGCGATCATACACCACTGTTGTCTTCCGTGGACGTCCATACTCCTCAGAATGTACCAAACTGTTGATTTGGCCACTCCTAATGTTGCTGCTATCTCTCTGATGTATTTGTTTTGAAGCCTTACAATGCCCTGTTTCACTTGCATGGACAGCTCCTTTGAACGCATGATGTAGGTTCACAGCAATAGATTCCACATGCAAATACCACACTTAGAATCAACTCCAGACCTTTTCCCTGCTTAACTGATGAAGAAATAACGAAGGAGTAGCCCACACCTGGCCATGAAACAGTTTTTGATTCAATTGTCTAATTACTTTTGGTCCATTGAAAAAGGGGGGATGGCTACTCTTAAGAGCTGTAATGCCTAAACCCTTCCTCCAATTTCGACATACGTACCCTCAAATTAAACCTGAGAGTGTGCACTTTCAGCCCATATCCATTATATAAATATAGCTTGAATATGTTTTGGTAAATACCTGAAAAAAAAACTAAAAATTGTGCCTGTGTCCAAATATATATGGACCTAACTGTAAATATACATGGCAGTTTCAAGGCTGGCTCTCAAACTTACCTCTCTCTCCATGTTCTGAGTGTAGTATTCTTTGTTCACATCAGACCTAGGCATGTCATCCTTTAGGGAAATCCCAGCATCTCGTACCTGAATTGGCAGTCCTATAGAAATTTTTTTTATTATTGTAAGTGAACAAATAACCATGTTTAAAATGTTTTTGGAAATACAGTATAACCCATGTCACTGTAAATCTATAGTGAAACAGCTACACAAAATCGAATAGTTCTAAAAAATTTTTGTATGCTAATAACTCTATAAAATTCAAACTAATAAGGAAATTTAAATTAATGTACTGAATACGATTTCACGTCTTTATATTTTTCTATACATTTATATACAGACCAAGCTGCAACAAGAGTGCCAGAGTTAAGACACGTAGTAGGGACTCACGCACATGGGTGAATGCTGCTTAAAAATAGATACAGAAATCAATGGCTGTATGCCAGGGGTGCTCAACCTTTTGAAGAGCAAGACGCCACTTAAGTTACATATATAGTTACATAATTGGTAAGGTTGAATAAAGACAATTGTCACAGTGGCTTAGTGGTTAGCACATCTGCCTTGCAGTAAATGGGTCATGGGTTCCCAACCATGGCATCTCCTGCATGGAGTTTGCATGTTCTCCCTGTGCTTGCGTGGGTTTCCTCCGGGTACTCCGGTTTCCTCCCACATTCCAAAGACATGCTGGTAGGTTAATTGGCTCCTGTTTAAATTGGCCCTAATATGTGTATGTATGAATGTGAGTTAGGGACTTTAGATTGTACACCCCTTGAGGGTTAGGGACTGATGTGAATGTACAATATATATATATGTAGAAAAGCGCTGCGTAAATGGACAGTGCTATATAAGTACCTGAAATAAAAATAAAATAATAAATAATAGTCCATCCAGTTCAACCTGTGTGGTATTTTTGTGTATGTGATCATGTATGTATGTGAACACGCCTCAACTATGGGGTTTTACCATCCCAAAACCGCAAATGTAAAGGAATCCTTACTGCACTTTCAGGAAATGCACCAAACCCGCAGGATATAATTGAAATCTATTGCTAAATGCAGATAAACCACAAGAGAGCCACAGGTGCACTGCACCCTTAATAGTTGTTAACCCTTTTATAGGTGCTAATATAAACATTCTATTCTTTAACACAATGACCTTCTTTTCCTCCTCCAGCTTCTGCTGCCATCACTCTCCGTCTCCAGGCTGCTAGAATGGTCCTAGGCAAAGGACACTTGGTATCACTCCACCACTGACAGAAGCCGGAGCTGCAGAGAAAGCATTGGTTTATGCGACTCCTGCTCCCTCCGCAGCCTCCTGCTGCTGGTTTGATGCACTCTGATGCTCTGGGATGGCAGATCAGCAAGCTCAAATTGCAATCAACAGGTTTCCGACCCCGTGTATGCACTTCCCTAGTTTGAGGTTGCGGGCTACACATTGAGCACCCCTGCTGTACGCCAACACTTGCATACAGACATACACTTCTAGACACAGATAATCTGCATCTAGGTTTGTACATCTATACATATGTTTACACAAATACCAGTGAATAACATACAGCTATTGATCTCTATGGAGGGCTGTAGGCAGCACCTGTGGCTCGTGAAATACATCTAAATGTAGTATGGCCCAAGGCGTCCATCTGCATGAAGGCCTAATACTTTAAAAGGTGCTTGAGAACTTGCAGGAACAATTTATTTAAAAGAAGATTAAATCATATGAATAAAAGGTCACCATTTGGTTTAAATGTAAAAACGCAGAGAAAAATGTATAGATAACTTAATTTGAAAGAATCGGCATGTACTAATTCCATGTATTAAAGTGTTACCAAACCCACAACAGTAAAATCAGTCTGTATATGCAGTAAAGCACGCTTGTTATCCTCACTGTGGAACCTAAGGGGGTTAATCCTCCACAGTGTGTAAAAAGGACGTTTGATCATGTCTTCTGTGATCCTCCCCTTCTACTGTCCCCAATCCATCTGCTGATAGAACAGAGCCTTGGGGGAAAGCTGCATATGCTCATTTTGGTGTGTAATGCTAGAGAATAGTTGTTTCTTTCCTTGGAAGAGTGCATGTGATCAGCACAGGGCCAATTAAAGCTGTCCCGACAGAGGGTCAGGGGTTATGCAGCCTCATAGGAGAATCAGGGGAGAATGAAAACTCCTCCTACAAACTTTAACCAGTGCTCTGCTGGACACTGACAGAAGTCACAAGACTGCTCTAACTGCCGATGGGAAAAGGTATTTAGCAGTTTATATTTACTAAAATAATTGCATTTCCATTTTCTGTATACTATGGAAGACCAGATATAGTGAATGCAGGGTCCTGGGTTTAGTAAACACTTTAACCACCTATAATTATCAGAATAATAGTTGTATGCTCAGAATAAATAATGCTCAGAAACCATAATTTTGTTTTATATGGCCAAAGTAACTGCGGATTATATATAAATACTCAACAGTCGCCATCTTGCTAAAGTGCCACTCACCAAACTCCAGATCTAGTAGACAGGTCTGACAGACATTTTTCAATTTGCTACATGTCTGGCATACCTCTGTCTTCTTAAAACGCATGCGCACCCCTGGACACCAGCGAAAAACTGTAAATGGTCGAGCACAGATCTGAAAAGGTAGAAAACAAGGCTGTTAAAAGCTGAAGTGCCTGAACTGTTCCAATGGAAAACGCATCTATTTGTATAGCAGTAATGGTTGACAGTTGTAGCAAATTACTGGGAAATGGCTTTGACACACCTGGAAGTGGAATTTTGGGCAAAAGAGCAAATACAGAGGAGAGTCACCGCATTTAGCATATTACCTGAAAAAGATTTGTAATTCTGATGAGCCAGTCTTATAATTATACACATTCACCATACTAAACAGTCTAACAGTGGCATGCTTGGTTCCTGGTTCAGCAAAGCAGCTCATGTCATCTCTTCACCTCCAGATTGTTTACTCATTGAGCAATGAAATATCATCATCTCCTCCCAATGAACAGGAAGCTGAGCCAGTCAGTAGCAGAGTGATCATAACTGGCAAAAGTAAGCATACCAAAAGTAATTTTTTAGATGATTTTAAAAATGAATTTCCATTGTGGGAATGCCCCAGAATCCACCCCTATTGGTTAGGTAGAAGAGCCCAGTTCAAATTTGGACATACCAAATTCCCTGTTACATTTGCTGCTCCATGTCACCACCATTCCGCTCAGTCATTATAAGAAACGGGTGTTCTCACACCTCTTGAACGCTGCTAGATATCTGATCCTAATTTATTGGAAAAGATCCAAAGTGAATAGTCGATTCGATTGGTTTAAGACAATGAAAGATATAATGGATGTTGAGGAATAGCTGGCTACATGTAAAGTGAAATATGAAACCTATCATGCAGTCTGGGCCACCTGGATACATTATAGATCCCATATTCCAGGGGTCTCTGCTGCGTCTTCCCAAATGCCTGCCACTCCCACAACCAGTGCTGCCTGTAGTGTTAACTACATAGCCAAGAAAGTCACAGAATCACAAAACAGGTCTGCACCCTACTTGTGCTGTGTTTATACTTTATTCTCTTTTTCCTGTTTGACCTAGAGGTACATGGTTAACCACTTCCATACCAGGCACTTTTACCCCCTCCTGTCCAAGCCAAATTTGAGGTTTCAGCACTGTCACACTTTGAATGACAATTGTGCAGTCATACAACACTGTACCCAAACTAAAATTTTATAATTTTCTTCACACAACTAGAGATTTCTTTTGGTGGTATTTAATAACCACTGGGGTTTTTATTTTTTGCTACATTAACAAAAAAAAGACCGAAAACTGGGGAAAAAAAAACCCATGTTTCTCTTTGTTTCTGTTACAAAAGTTTGCAAATAAATAATTGTTCTTCACAAATTTAGGCCAAGATGTGTTCTGCTACATGTCTTTGGTGAAAATAACCCAAATTAGTATTTATTTAGTTTGTAGGAAAGTTATAGAGTTCACAAACTATGGGATATATCTGAAAATTGATCAAATCTGAAGTACTGACGGCCAATGTAATTTCTTGAGGTCCAAGAATGTCAGAACAGTACAGATATCCCCCAAATGACCCCTTTTTGCAAAGTAGACAGTCCAACATATTTCATAAGAGGCATGGCGAGTTTTTTGAAGTCGTAATTTTTTTGTCATACTTTTTCGGAAAATGAAGAAATTAAAAGAATTTTCACTTTTTTTTTATATACTGTCACCGGTGCAGTACAGCAACATCATATAACTGGCATGGCGGTGATCAGGGACACCGACTGGTGACAGTACGGAAAATTTTTTTTTTATAATTTTTCTTCAATTTTTTTTATAATTGTTTCTCTTTAAGATTTTGTTTTCATGTTGCACTATGACCAAAGTAGTATAATGTTACCATAGTAACATTGTACTACTTTGGGGAAGTGATCAGTATTTTTTTTTTTTTTGATTGCTGTAAGCAAGCATTTACGTGAATGAAATCGATTCATTCAGGGTTTTCTTTTGTGATTAGTTATTGGCCCAGCATGTGATCGCTCTGACCATTCACAGCTAGACACACTTGTATACAATGGATGGCATGAAAGGAAGCCATCCATTGTATACAACTGTCACGTGACCGGCTGTTATTGGTCACAGCAGGTCACATGGTACTGGCAACAGGGCTGGTACACAGATCTGTCATCAGCCGTGTCCAAAGTACACGGCCGGTGACAGATCTCGGCACAGCATGGCCCTGCAGGCATGCGCAATGCACGTTCCAGAAAGGACGCCATATGGCGTCCACCCGGAGCGACAAGCTGGTTGCCCGGCTGCCATCTGGCTATAGGCTGGGTGGCAACTGGTTAAGTTTCTGGTTACTAGTTTGTGCAAGAGTAAGAAATAAGGCACATCGTGGGAGACATTATCTTATATCGCAAGTGTACTATATGAGCATGTCTGTGAAACTACCAGAACCTACAGCTGCATTTTGCACTTTTTTCTCCAAAAGAGAGATAGGCTTGTTTTGTGAGTGCTTGTTTTATGCTTACCGTAAGTGAGATAGCATTTACTTTTGCCTTTTCTGATCAACAAACAAAAAGGATTTTGCTGATCTACTCCAAAATATGCACTTTAGAGTGCTGAATGATAGAAACAGGTTTCTCCAAACGTCTTCCAGGACAGCCTCCTTGAGACGTAGAGCTCCTCCCTCAGGACAGGAAACATGAAAGCACAGCACTTTAAAAAGCGGATCTCCAGGCCTCCCTCTTCAGTTTTTAGTGTTTCCTCTGGAGGGACGGGTACAGTTCTAATGAACCTGTTGTTTGGAAGCCCTAAGCTCAGGGGGGTGCTGGTTGCTCCTGTTCTGCTTACTTCCACCTGCCCAGAGTGATCCCTCCATGTTTGGGGAGTGGGAATGCGTTCTTGGTGTCCTTCCAGGCTTCAGTAGAGTATGACTGTCAGTGATGTATTCTGCCCAACACGGAAGAGTTCCGTTTCTTTTCCTTTTCTGGAGACAGGGGCTTTTGAGCGGGGTGTGGGCGGAGCTTCCCAACCCCCCGCCCCCCTTTGACCCAAGCGCAGGGGGGTGGGGGGGATCTCTGGGTCACTCCGCTGGCCCCAGGGTAGCAGTTGATGCACAATGGGGCAGAGAGACCACTGGGAGGCGTACAAGCAGCCGCGATTTCTAGAAGGTGCACTCCAAACGCCGGAAGTTCCGATTGCAGTGACGTAATTGGCGGGCGCCGGAGACTTGTGGTTCCAGTCTCCATAGCGGCACAGGCATGAGGTCGGGCAGCCAGTGCGGTGTGTAAACCCAGCTGAGGCTGCGGCTCCACACGAGGGATGTGATGGAAGGCGCTGGTCCTTCTCAAGCGGACCCTGGTTCTTCAGGCACCGGCTCCACTCAGGTAGGCTTGGGGACTCTGGATTCCCTCTTGCTGATCCATGGGGGTGGTTTTTTCTTTTTCCCCAGTCTCTGAGTGCAGGTGACGGTGGGCACACTTCCTTGTTTTGCTGCCCCAGCACAGTGGTGGTTGGATGAGGAGCCCCGAGCTGATTATCTTCTGCATTGTGTTTTCTTGCTCATTGTAGATTAAAACCCAGGACAAGATGTAGAGTCAGGCCCCTAAGAAGTGTGCAGTTTGTGCGGCAACATTGGGTTCAGCTTGGGAAAAACCTTTATGCCGCAATTGTGTGGATAGCCAATTAAAGGATGAGTCATTTACAGCCTGTCATAAAGTTCTCACCTTCATTAAGGATGAAAAGACAGCTACATTTCAATCGTTTAGATCCCTGTTGGAAAAAATGCAGTCACCGCTGGGGCCATGCACCCAGTCGGCAGGTACAGAGGTATCAGATACATTAAGAGGGGAAGAGGATCCAAGGTCCCTAGCTTCCTCACGGGCGTGTTCAGGCTCAGAAGAGGACGACAGTGAAGTTTGCTCTTCCAGAGGTTCCAGGTGCAAATTGGCCTTTGATGATGTAGATGACCTCCTTAAGGCGATCTACGAAACCTTAGAAATCGAGGACGACGTATGCCTGTCTAAACATGACCTAATGTATCAGGGTCTACATGATAAAAAAAAAAAAAAACTAGGGTCTTTCCCATCCATAGTGCCCTGGTTGATACCATTAAGCAAAATTGGGAAAACCCTGAAAGGAAACCCTTTTTTCATGTAATCTTAATAGGAGATTTCCTTTTGAGGATGGCAGATCCCAGCCATGGCCATTACCTTACCCTTTACTGGCGATAATCTTTTCGGTCCAGGTCTCGAAGAGGCGCTGCAGCGCATGGCCGATAAAAAGAGCGTTTCCAGAGAGTAAGAAGAGATCTTACTCCAAGAGGGTAGAAGACACAGGCCCAGCAGGTTAAGGATGTTCAGCCCAAGAAACAGACAAGGCACAACAACAGGGGAAAAGGGGGGGGGTCTTATTCAATCCTCCTCAGATCCCCGCCAAGTCTCAACGACTTGAGCGTCCCAGTGGGAGGAAGACTGGGAACATTTCTCCCTCAGTGGGCTTCAATCTCCTCGAACCCGTACATCCTGGACTTGATAGAGAAAGGGTACAGGTTGGAGTTTGACTCCAGTCCCCCCGCCAGGTATCTGGTAACCTACCTTCCCATGGATCAGGAAAAGGCACAGGCCCTGTGTGGCCTAATTGGAGACCTGATAGATCAGCAGGTCCTTACTCGAGTTCCCTGGAGCGAGCAGGGGAGGAAATGTTATTACCATGTTTTTGTAGTGAAAAAGCCCCTCAAGAACGTTTCGCCTTATTCCTAAACCTGTGCCCCCTCAATCAGTCTCCAAGGTACAAACACTTCAGGATGGAACCAATTTTCTCTGTAAGGAACATCCTTTACCCAGGTTGTTTCATGGATAAGCTGGATCTGAGGGATGCGTATCTTCATTTTCCCATTCATCATGCGTGTCAGACATACCTAAGAATAACGGTAAGGATGGGTTCAGAGATCCACCACTGGCAGTGTGGGGCTCTACCTTTCGGTATGGCCTCAGCACCAAGAATTTTTACAAAAAGGTACTTGCGGAGGCCTTAGATCCCCTGAGAATGAGGTCTATTACGATCGTTCCCTATCTGAACGATCTCATCTTAGTGGCCAGGTCTCACCAACAGCTGACGGAAGATCTGCAGGTTGCGCATGACTTCCTTCTGAGTCTGGGGTGGCTCGTAAACAGAGACAAAATCATGCTCAACCCCCTCCCAGAGAGTTACCTATCTGGGGTACGAGATTCCCTTAGTAGAGAGAAAGATCTTCCTCCTTCCACGAGAAAAGTTTCTCAGGATAGGTCAGATGCTGGCAAAATTGCAGAGCAATCTATCAACAATAAGGGATATTATGAGGGCAATGAGTCTCATGACTTCACGTTTTCCAGGTGTCCCCTGGGTGAGATTCCACCAGCAGCCACTGCAGGCCTTTTTCTCTGAGGGTTTGGAACGGGGACAGATCTACTTTGGATCTGGCAGTCCATCTCCCGCCCAGGATCAAGAGGTCCCTTTGGTGGTGGCGGAAAGAAGTCAATCTAGCCAAGGGTCTGGAGAGGAACTCTTCTTGTCCAGCTATCATTACGACTGATGCCAGCAGCTTTGGTTGGGGAGCCCATCTAGACAACAAAGCAACCCAGGGGTCATGGTCTGTGGAGGAGGCTCAGAGATCTTCAAATCAGAGACAGCTTCTAGTAGTCCAACGAGCGTTGGATGCCTTCCAGGCAGAATTTTTGGACCATCACCTGCAGATCCGTTCAGACAATATGGCTATGGTGGCATACATCAACAAGCAGGGGAGTACGTGAAGCCCTCTTCTTCAAGTAATCGCAGACAGGATTCTATCCTGGGCCAAGCAAAACTTGCTTTTGATATCTGCCATTCATCTGAAAGGGGTGCAAAATTCCCTAGCGGACTTCCTAAGTCGGCATCCAGTCAAACATGACGAATACCATGAAGTATTCATGACCATCATTCTCAGGTAGGGCATGCCGGAGGCCGATCTCTGCTTCCCAGGAAACCAGGAAAGTCAGCCGGCTCTTCTCCCTAAATCCGTGAGATCAGGCTTTGGGTGTAGATGCGAGCGCGTGGGAGTTCAATCTCTGTTATGCGTTCCCTCCAGTGAGGCTGATCCCAGCAGTCCTGCAGAAATTTGTTAGAAAAAAAAAACAAACCTTATGCTGGTAGCACCATTCTGGCTGAAGATTCCATGGTTTTCTTTGCTGTGGAGCCTGGCCTCAGTTCCCCCGCTACCCCTTCCAGAAAGGAAAGATCTGATCTCTCCGGGTCCTGTGCTACACACTCAAGTCAGCCTTCAGGTTGGCAGCGTGGCTTCTGAAGAACTCCTCCTGAAAGCTCAGGGGTTTTCTGACAGAGTAATAAGGACTTTAGTGAACGGCCGCAAACCAGTTAAAGTTATTTCGCTAAGGTCTGGAAAAAAAACTCCTGGCTGCTAGGTAAGGTGCGGGACCCTCTGAATATCCCAGGGGTGTTAGATTTGTTTCAGGATGGGGCAGATCAGCGCCTTTCGGTTAGCACTTTAAAGGTGCACGCCTCGGCCCTTTAAAGTTTTTCTTCAGAGCTCCCTCCAGCAAGATCCCTTTAGAACAAATTTTTTCAGGGTCCTTTCCAAGTCCAGGCTGGCAGCGGTCAGGTCTTGTCCAGTCTGGGATCTATCTTTGGTTCTAAAAGCTTTGGTCCTTTGTCCCTCTGGAGAAAATCTTCAATCAAGTTTTAACTCTAAAAAAGTTTTTTTTTTTTTTTTTTTTTTATAGCAAATCATGTCGGCCCGTAGGGTGAGGAAACTGCAGGCACTTTCCAGGGAGCCTTTTGGCAGTTTGAGGATAAAATTGTGCTCAAAACAGATCCTGGATTTCTTCCCAAGGTTTCCTCCTCCTTTCATAGGTCCCAAGATATAATTTTACTGACCCTCTATTCTGCTCCCGCTAGCAGGGAGGAGAAAAGATTATGTTTATTGGACATTAGAAGGAGCCTTTTCGTCTATCTTAGTAGATCCAGAGAATTCAGGAATTCGGATTCTCTTTTTGCAGGAGCACGTAAGGGTTCTAAGGCTTCCAAATCCACCATAGCTAGATGAATTAGGATGGCTATCACGAAATCATATAGTTTACTGGAAATTCTACCCCGTTTGTTAAGGCGCATTCAACCAGATCCTTGTCGATGTCCTGGGCAGAGAGAGCTGGTGCCTCGCCAGAACAGATCTGTAAGGCGGCCACCCGGTCCAGCTTTTCTACCTTCGTGAAGCATTATCGCCTAGATCTCCTTTCTAGAAAGGATCAGGCATTTGGGCGCAAAGCCTCCAGGCACTAGCCCCACCCTAGTGGGTAGGTTCTTGATTATAGTCTCAAGGAGGCTGTCCTGGAAAAGTTTGGAGAAAACCAGAGTTAGACTTACCAGTAACTTCTTTTCTACGAGTTTTCCAGGTCAGCCAGGATTTCCTCCCCTAAGGTTGTACTGTAATGTATGTTTATGCATAAATGGTTATGTCTTTTAGTGTCTTCCTGTCATTCTTGAGTAAAACTGAAGAGGGAGGCCTGGAGGTCCGCCTTTTACAGTACTGTGCTTTTGTGTTTCCTGTCCCGGAGGGAGGAGCTCTACGTCTCAAGGAGGCTGTCCTGGAAGACTCATAGAAAAGGAGTTACCGGTAAGTCTAACTCTGGTTTTCTGTGTTTTGTAATCTTTTTTTTTACTTTCGTATTGTACATGAAAAATAATAATAAAAAAAAACCCAGAAATGTGATACTTTCACTATATCGATTTCCATCATTTAGTAGTGACACTAACAAGACAACCTGCTGCATGCAATTATCAGGATAACAACAAATGTAAAGGATGCATTTATATTCTGAGTGGATTTCATCTTACCTTGCATTCTTTTCCATACTTCTCTTTGGTCTGATAAAAAAAACAAAATCTTGCAATTATTATACAGGATTTATATAGCGCCAACAGTTTGCTCAGTGCTTTACAATATAACGGGATACAATACAGCAACAGTACAGTTCAATACAAGAGGGTGAGGAGGGCCCTGCTCCTTGGAGCTTACAATTGAAGAGATGAATAAAGTCAGATTGCTGCAACCACTAGAATAACGCAGCCTTTAGTTTACTACAGCAATGGATCTGTACCAGGAACTCTTCATTTCAGAGCTGTTCCCATTTCAAACTGAAGAATGATTACTTTACAGAGAACCCATACCTATCTAAAAAGTACCAAATTACCTTTTCCAGTAAAATGATGTAACAAAATGTAGATTAGAGCATGTTGTATTCTTCTACTAATCTAAAACCTTTTTATCCACACTGGTATCAATAAATGTCCCCTTCTTGAACCTTAACACGATTGTAAAGGTTCATTTTTTTTTTTGTAAAACAACAAACATGTCTATACTTACCTGCTGTGTGCAGTGGTTTTGCACAGAGAAGCCTGGATCCTCCTCTTCTTGGGTCCCCCGCAGGCTCTCCTGGCCCCTCCCTCCTGTCGGGTGCCCCCACAGCAAGCAGCTTGCTATGGGGGCACCCGTTGCTCTGTGTGTCCATTCACACACGGACCTGTGGTTTGGCCCTACCCCTCTCATTGGCTGACTGCCTGCAGCGGGAGCCAATGGATTCCGCTTGCTGCCTCAGCCAATGATGAGGCAGAGACCCAGGAAAACCAAGGCTGTTATTCACATTGCTGGATCGCGATGGGGCTCAGGTAAGTATTGAGGAGGCTGGGGGCACTGCTGCACAGAGAAGATTTTTTACCTTCATGCATACAATGCATGAAGGTAAAAAAAACTTCAGCCTTTACAACCACTTTAAGGCATGTATGAAAGAAGAACCACTAAATTTTTTCTCTGAAATAACTTGAAACTGACCAATGTACTAGACATTCATCATGGATTATTCCACATTTAGATAAGTTCACCTTTTGAAACTATTTATTCCCTTATTTAGGGTGTTAATACATTGCTATGCAACAGTGGCTGTAACAATTAAAAAAAAAAAAAAAAAAAAAAAATGGTGCTGCTGTGCGGGGCTCCACCCACACAGTTGCATCATTCATTCACAGCAATCTGTGAATAAAGAAACTGCCACCATGACAGACAGACTTGTAGTTCTCATGAGACTATGAGGGCGATGATCACTATAATCATTAATTATGTTATCACAGATGACCTCATCATAAGCAACTGCATCAAAGATGACCTCATCATAAACATCATCATCATCATCGTCGTCGTCACCATCAATGACGACATCGCCATTGGTAATGTCATTGATGGCATCATCACCATCCATGATGCCATCAATGACAATGGTGACATCTTTATCCATGGTGACATGATCAATGACATCATCATTGATCACATCATCGCGGACATCATTAGCAATGACAATCTGTGATGACATCATCTATTACATAATCTGCAAAGATATAATCAATTACACCATTGTCATAATTGAGGAGGTCATTGGTGATGACATCAGTGGCAAAGACATCATCGATGAACTCATCAGTGATGACAACGATGGCCTCATCATCGTCTCCCATCAATAATCATCGGCAGCTATTGATCAGCACCCTCACAGTCCACTAGCACTTCATGCAGAGCAGTAACCGACAGCCCATATGAAGGTACAGGTAGAGAGCTGTAGGAAATGTCTTCAGTAGCCTGACATTGCACCCACGATCCACTGACCATAGTTGCAATGCTTCGCAGGCTCCTGTGTAAAAAAAAAAAAATAATAAAAGCACTTTTTTTTACCTGAAAAAACATATGCTTCTATTTTTTGTTTTAACAAAGGTGAACTTAGCCTTTAAAGTGGTTCTAAAGGCAAAATATTTTTTACTTTAATGCATTCCCTGCATTAAGGTAAGAAAATATCTACAGTTTGCTCATCTACCTAAATACTTACCTCATTGTGTCCTCATCTGATCCAGCACAGTGAGCGGCTGGATCTCTTATCTCCTCTCTTCCTATTCACACAGGTACTCAGGCAGCGGCAGAAGCCAATGGCTCCTAGTGCTGTCAATCAAAATCTGTGCGGAGGAAGTGGAGTGCAGGGCCAAGTCACATTGTCTGTGTCTATGGACCATAGCTCCATAGACACTCACAGCTCAGGAGCAAGCATGCATATGTGACACCATAGCAAATGGTTTGCTATCAGGGCACACAGAAAAGATGAGGAGCTCTGATTGCCAGCAAGGAACCCCAGAAGGAGGAGAATCAGGGCCACTCTACAATACCATTACACAGAGCAGGTGAGCAAACCATGTTTATTTATTTTAACGTTTGGTAACACTGTAATAAAATCAGATTTGCTTTTGATTTTTTGATATTTTAAAACAATGAAAATGACATGGACAAAAACAATGGGTCCCTTAACCGAATAGACCTTTAGAGACAATTGCTATAAACAAGCAATTTCTGTAGCTCTCGATGAGACTTCTGCACTTACCAACAAATAGTTGGACCGAATATTGAGCAAACTGCTCCAGCTGTCTTATATTTGAAGGGTGCGCTTCAGCAGTTTTCATAGATGTTTAGCAAGAAAATGCAGTGTTGTCTGAATGGCGCCCATGCTGAACAAGTGACCGCCTGTGTTCAGCAAGCAGCAGGGTAGCCGCTCAGCATGGGACCTGGAAGACCGGGGCAAACACTGTCTTAACGGTGTCAACTACAGTGCTTTCCAGCTTCCACAGGAATCAGCTAGGGATGGCACATACATACTCACATTGGTCCAAGCTAGATCAATGTAACTATGTAAAAATAGCTATATTTGGAATTAAGCTTTAATTTTCTGGAATATTTATTAAAAGTTGTATTGATTTCCTTAATGTCAATTAAGGAATGTTAATATAATCAATTGTTTAGTAATGACTTACCATTCTGATATATGGATTCTCTCCCAGGCATGTCTGACAAAGAATTGGGAAGTCCTAAGAAAACACCAATAAAAAATAAGATTAATTTATATAAAACCTAAAAATGAAATATGTAATATTGCAGCACACCATTCCTTAGAAGTAGTGGCAGCATTAGTTTTCTTATTTTTCATCCTTTGATTTGTTACTTTCACCTGGTGTTCCGGTCAGAAACACACTTCTCCTTGACTAACAACACTTAAAAAGTGTTACTAAACCCAGGACCCTGCATTCACTATATCTGGTCTCCCACAGAATACAGAACATGGAAATGGAATTATTATAGTAAATATAAACTGCTAAGTACCTTTTCTCATCAGCAGTATATAGCAGTCTTGTGACTTCTATCAGTGTCCAGCAGAGCACTGATTACAGCTTGTAGGGGGAGTTTTCATTCTCCTGTAGGAGGATGCAGGACCCCTGACCTCTGTTTAGACAGTGCTGATTAGCCCTGTGCTGATCACATGCACTCTCTCAAGAAACAAAAACTCTTTAGCAGTACACAGCAAAAGGAGCATGAGAAGCTAAGCCACTGTTCTATCAAGAGATTTAAGAGACACTGGAAGAAGGGGAGAATCAGAGCAGAGAGGATCAAACATCCTTTTTACACAATGTGCAGGATTACCCTCTTAGGTTCCATAGTGAGTAAGCATGCTTTACTGCATATAAGACTGATTTTACTGTTGTGGGTTTAGTAACACTTTAATAAACATTAAATTAAAGTGGTAGTAAAAAGGTATACTTTTCACCTTAATGCACTCTCTGCAAAACCTTTTAATAGTAGCACAGCCTCCCCCGCCCCCCACACACACACACATAAAATCACCCCTGAACCCGAACTAGATCCAGAGCTGTGCACAGCTGCAGCAGCTCTTCTCCCCTCTCCGGACTGCCGCAGGCTTGGCTGAGAGCAACAGGAGCCATTGGCTCCTGCTGTCAATCAAAACCTGTGACCAGAGAACGTGGGATGGGACCAAGCAGGGCTGTTTATCTGAATAGACACAAACAGCGCAGCTTGGGATCTAGTACGCACAAGTGCCCCTATAGGAAGCTGCTTCCTATAGAGGCACTTGGTAATGGTGACCCCCCCCAACCATACATTTTCTGAAAGCATAGAACCAAGAGATGTTTATCAATTACAATGTTCACTAAAACAAAGTTAATCCTTACATGCACACATAAACACAACATAACTTACAAAATTCCTGCTAAATTCCTACTAAGGCCTTGTTCACATGGGGTGTACTAAAGTGTACGCCTATGGAGGGCAGTGTTTACCAGCACGGGGATACATTGGTATTTTGTGCATCCTTGAGCACGCAGTCCCATTCATGACAATTGGGGCACAGCAGCTGCAAGGACAGAGCCACTGCTCACCATCTGACATCCATGCGGGTGTTGGTGCATGGCCCCAAATGCAGTGTAAGTTCAGGGACATGCACCTACATGGAATTCTAATTTGGGAGCAGTGGCTGTGTCCAGGCAGCTACTGCATTCAACTGAAATGAATTGGACTGTGCAGGAATGAACGGAACACCTGTGCATTCCCGTGCAGCTCCTGTGTCTCAACTGACAATTGAGTATGACTGCCTGCATACATGGGGATGCATGGAACACGTAGACATCGCTGTGCAGCTAAAGATCACCTTACTGTAGTATGCCCTGCAAGAACAAGGCCTTAGGCCTCATTTAGACTTGCAGTTGAGAATGGCAAAAATGCACAGCTGAACTGCGTTTTTGCCAACCGCCAACTGTGCCCCCTTTAGGCCTCAAAAGGCAGCAGACGGGGGTGTTTTGCGTCTGCGGCAAAGTTGACCTGACTTGTAATGATTGTCAGGTGGTAAGCCCGTTGCATGCTACACATTTAAGTTAAAGCAAGTTAAAGTTAAGTTTAAGGTAAAGAAGTGCAGCAAACGCCTCACAACCAAGTGAAATGCATATGGCTGCGGCACATTTATCGGCGAAAATGTGGTTTAAAACAGCAAAAAAATGATGCGACGCCTCCTCACTGCATGTCAGTAGCAACTGGAGCATGATCCGCACACAAATCAGGCTTCAGAGGCAAGGGAGATTTAGAGGCATGTCTAAATCTACCCTTAGTATGTTTTATTTTTAATATATTTTTTTTGGGGGTGTCTTTGGTGAGATATGAGGGGTTTTAAACAGACCTCTAAGGTCTCATTCTTGAGACAGAGAAAGGAACAGAAGACAGTCCCTTTGTCTGCAGCTGCACTGTAGAAGAATGTGAGAGGTTTCTGTATAGAGATTCCTGTACTTTCACAAACTGAAGCATAGTAAACACGGTTTACTATACTTAAGTGATAAATAAAGGCACATGAGTAATTGGAACGGATCAATCACTGTGTTCATTCAGGAAAGGAATGGACCATAAGCTTATAGCAGGAAGAGGAATGCTAGGTCCATACGCCGTACGGACCTGGCAACCTGAAAACGGTGCTGTAGGTCCGAATGTCATACAGACTTGGTGGCGAAAGGGTTAAGTGACACTAAAGCAGGCCATACATGGAATGGATTTTTTTTTACCATAGTAACATTGTACTACTTTGGGGAAGTGATCAGTATTTTTTTTTTTTTTTTTTTACACAATTTGCTTATAGCAAAGAATTACTTTGGGGTAATTTTACTACACCTACAAACACAAGCACTGAATGTACCGTTGGAGTTGGCACTTTAAAGCACAGATTGTCACCTTATGAACTTTTATCAATTTTATTGTCACTTTATGAACTTTTATCCTTTATTTTAACTTTATTCATTTTATCAGAATTACATATTATTGGGTCATATAAACGGACACTTCTATGATTGTTTAAGCGCTGCACTTAGATTTATGAATTTTTTTAAGATTTTATCTGGTTACCTTTTGTGCATAGCTGCTTTTACCAAGAACGCTCACTGATTTATATCTCTTTTAAGTCAGCAGCTACAGTTTTTGTAGCTGCTGACTCTTTTTTCAGGCGGAACTCCGCTTTAAATGCTTTTATTTCATGTTTTTTCTCACGGTTACTGTGAAATTGTGCGAATGCATCAATGCAGTGCATGTTATCTCAGCTTGCATTCATTGAATGAGTTTACCAAAAATGTAAATATTGCAGAATATACAGCTTCATGCTACATGACTAAGCTCCATTTCATGCTGAACTAAATCATTAATGTATCTTAAATAGATTTTTACTCCAAAAGCATTTTATTAAAATAAATTTGATAAAAAATAAAAACCCGATTTAAATTGAAAAAAACAAAACAAAAAAAAAACAGATTTTAATTTTTTTTAAATCAATTTTTATCCACCCTGACCAAACACCAAATGCTGCTAAACTGGTTTGAAAAAAAAATGCAGCTTAGGTGAGTTTTTAACGCTGATATTCTGTTAGGAGAAACAGCATTTACAATAAACCAGTGTGCATGAGGCCTAAAGCAGCCCATCACACTTTAAAATAACTTTTTTCCTGCTAGCAGCTTCCTAAATTGGGACTATTTCCTCCCTTGCTTTTTTTTTTCTCCATCATTTTCCCCCACCCTCCCCCCCTCCCATATTACCATACAGGCGTGCTGTGGGATTCTGCACATGCTGCAGGTTTGTGGGATCCAGAAGAGACCTACATTATTTCTGTGAAGTGTGTGGGAAGCGTTTCCCAGATATGTACACAGATGTCGCAGGTAACAAGGTTAAAGTCAATGTGTACACATGCGCCAGGAACCCCTCCCCACACATAAGTGCTGCAGATCTCTGCCAGGTCCCAAAGACTAGAGATTTTCAAAGATGGTGGTATGGGTTCCTCATTAAACAGTTCCTGCCTGGCCTATTGTCAAATGACAGCTGGGTGGGACATTCATAGTTCTGGGTGGATGTCATACAATGTCCTTCCCAAAACGGGCCATGCTGCGGCATGATCTGTGACCTGCTATGCCCACCAGACACAGTGGATGACAGATCAGTGTACAGCCTCTGCCTGTACCATGTGATCGCTGTGACCAATCACAACAGATCACATGAGAATTGTACACAACAATGGATGGCATTCATTCATGCCATCCATTGTGTTGATCTCTGTGATTGATCAGAGTTATCACATGGTGCAGACAGGGCCAATTACAGCCCATCTATGCCATGTGATTAGTTGTGGCCAATCACAGCTAACAATAGTAAATACTGAATAAATCGATTTCATTCAGTAAAAAGGATTGTTTATAACAGGAAAATTTACTGGTATAAGCAATCATAGTGTATTTAAAAAAAAAAAAAAAACTGAGGAAAAAACCCACAATTTTTTTAAATGTCAATAAATTGCAACTTGAAATAACTCACCATACCTTTATACTTTTTGCAAAATACTATGGACTGCCTACTTTCCAAAAGGGGTTATTTGGGAGATTTTGTACTATCCTGGTATTTTCGGGCCTCAGGAAATGGGATTTGCCATCAGTACATCAAGACTGATCAATTTTCAAATATATCCCATAGTTTTTGAACTTCATAACTTTCCTAAAGACTAAATAATATACACTGATTTGGGTTATTTTTACCAAAGAAATGTAGCAGAATACATTTTTTGCCTAAATGTATGATGGATTATTTATTTGATGTTATAACAAAGTTTTTGGAAAAAAAAAAAAAAAAACGTTTTTCTTCGTTTGACTTTTTTTGTTTATTTGGTACAAAATGAAAAACCCCATGGTGATTAAATACCACCAAAATAAAGCTCTAGTCATATGAAATTTTTTTTTATATGGGTACAGTGTCGCATGACCACGTAATTCTCATTTAACCAGTTCACACCCACCCAACAGCAGAATGACAGCTGAGCGGGACTCATCGATCCGGGGGGGGGGCGTCATATGACGTCCTTCCCGGATCTGGCCGCGCTGTGGCAAGATCTGTCACCGAGCCATTGCCAGTACCATGTGACCAATCACAGCAGGTCACATGACAATTGTAAACAATGAATGGCTTCCTTTTATGCTAATCATTGTATACAATTGTGTCACTAGCTGTGATTGGTCACAGTGATCACATGCACAGAATGGGCCAATCACAGCCCATCTGTGTCATGTGATTAGACGTGGTCAATCACAGCTAATTACAACAAAATAACCTGAAAGAATTGATTTCCTTCAAGTAAATGCTTGCTTATAGCAAAGAAATCCTTTGCTATAAGCAATCATAATGTGTAAAAAAAAAAACTGATCACTTCCCCAAAGTAGTACAATGTTACTATGGTAACATTATATACTACTCTGGTCATAGTGTAATAAGAAAAAATCAAAATCAACTATAAAAAAAAACACTTTTTTTTTTTCCCGGTAATGTCACCAGTGTCCCTGATCACCGCCACATCAGTTATATGATGAGGCTGCATATGCTGCACTGGTGACAGTATGAAAAAAAAACAAAAAACAAATTGTGAAAACCTTTTTTTTTAATTTCTTCATTTTCCAAAAAAAAAATTACAACTTGAAAAAACTTGTCATGCCTCTTATTAAATACCTTGAACTGTCTACTTTGCAAAAAGGGGCCATTTTGGGGGGGATATCTGTACTGTTCTGACATTTTTGGGCCCACAAGAAATTAGGTCGCCTGTCAGTACTTGAGAACTGATCCATTTTCAGATATAGCCCATAGTTTGTGGACACTATTAAAAAAAAAAACAAAAAAAAAAAAAAAAAAAAAAAAAACTTTCCTACAAAACTAAATAAAAAACTGATTTGGGTTATTTACAAAAAAACGTAGCAGAATACATCTTACCCCTGAATTTATGAATAACATTTATTTGCAAACTTTAATTTTATTATTACAGGCAGTCAATTTTACACAGCACTTTTCATATATATTGTACATTCACATCAGTCCCTAACCCTCAAGGGGTGTACAATCTAAGGTCCCTAACTTACAATCTTACATACTAGGGCCAATTAACTTACCAGCATGTCTTTGGAGTGTGGGAGGAAACCCACACATGCACAGGGAGAACATGCACACTCCAGGCAGGTGGTGTCGTGGTTGAGATTCCAACCAATTGCCCTAGTACTGCTAGGTGGAAGTGCTAACCCTTTTAGCCACTGCTGCCCAGAAAAAGAAAAATATGGGTTTTTTTTTCTTTTTTGGTCTTTTTTTGTTTATTTAGCAAAAAGTAAAAAAACCCAGTGGTGAATACATACCACCAAAAGAAATCTCTAGTTGAGTGAACAAAATGATCAAAAGTTAGCTTGGGCACAACGTTGCATGACCGCGCAATTGTCATTCAAAGTGTGAGAGCGCTGAAAGCTGAAAATTGCCAGGAAGGGGGTGAAAGTTCCCAGTTTTGAAGTAGTTAAAGTGTGAGAGTGCTGAAAGCTGGCCGGTATTGAAATGGTTAAAGTGTGAGAGCGCTGAAAGCTGGCCGGTATTGAAATGGTTAAAGTGTGAGCGCGCTGAAAGCTGGCCGAAAGCTGGCCGGTATTGAAATGGTTAAAGTGTGAGCGCTGAAAGCTGGCCGGTATTGAAATGGATAAAGTGTGAGAGCGCTGAAAGCTGGCCGGTATTGAAATGGATAAAGTGTGAGAGCGCTGAAAGCTGGCCGGTATTGAAATGGATAAAGTGTGAGAGCGCTGAAAGCTGGCCGGTATTGAAATGGATAAAGTGTGAGAGCGCTGAAAGCTGGCCGGTATTGAAATGGTTAAAGTGTGAGCGCTGAAAGCTGGCCGGTATTGAAATGGTTAAAGTGTGAGCGCTGAAAGCTGGCCGGTATTGAAATGGTTAAAGTGTGAGCGCTGAAAGCTGGCCGGTATTGAAATGGTTAAAGTGTGAGCGCTGAAAGCTGGCCGGTATTGAAATGGTTAAAGTGTGAGCGCTGAAAGCTAGTCGGTATTGAAATGGTTAAAGTGTGAGCGCTGAAAGCTGGCCGGTATTGAAGTGGTTAAAGTGTGAGCGCTGAAAGCTGGCCGGTATTGAAATGGTTAAAGTGTGAGCGCTGAAAGCTGGCCGGTATTGAAGTGGTTAAACTAGTAAGGGGCTTGGGCAAAGTCACCACAGCATACATCAGGATACCTGAAATGTGGGGTCACAAGTTGAAGCAATCCATCCCTGTCATGGATCGAGGACTATCATACCCACATGACGCACACACAGGCGCTGAAGGTCCCTGTACACCTAGTACGTACGTAGGACAAACCTCCACCGCCCAGCACCACACATGTAATGAACACTACTCCTTCCACCCTACTGACCACGATGTGTACACAGACGAGCTGGGGCCTACAACTCAGACTTCACCAGCCCGGCGCATTGTGGCCACTTCCTGCTATCAGTAGTCCCCCGAAGTGCCTGACCGATCACCGTCAGTGCACACACATCCGTCTACTTACCGCGTCCTCCCAGTTCTGCCGGTTGTAAGTATTTGATCCAAGGGAAGTAGCCATCTTGCTTAGCAAATCCCCCTCGCTTACCGCTCTGCTTGTATTCTGCGCATGCGCCGAGTACTACTAGCTACGTACGACTGCTGTAAAGTTAGGACAACGACGCTCTAGTTTCCATTGAGTGTTTCATATAGCGCTCTCGTGCGGCACCAGATAGTATTTCTACACATCTGAATTGTGGTCACTGATACTCAGGGAAACTAGATTCAAGTTTCAAATGTGTATTATTATTATACAGTAATAGTTCGCTCAGCGCTGTACATTACAAAGGGGGACAGAACATGTGACAGAACAATACCAATACAATGCAAAACATGAGGGGATCGAGGGCCCTGCTCTTTCGAGCTTACAATCTTACAATCTAGGTATTGTTGTGCAAAGACAACCATCTCAAAGCCTGTCACTTTTTAACCATTTCAATACCGGGCAATTTTACCCCCTTCCTGCCCAGGCCATTTTTCAGGTTTCAGCGCTCTCACACTTTGAATGACAATTGCGCGGTCATACAACATTGTACCCAAACTAAAATTTTATCATTTTCTTCACACAACTAGAGCTTTCTTTTGGTGTTATTTAATCATCGCTGGGGTTTTTATTTTTTGCTAAATTAACAAAAAATGACCAAAACGTTTGAAAAAAAAACCACGTTTTTCTTTGTTTCTGTTATAAAAGTTTACAAATAAATAATTGTTCTTCATAAATTTAGGCCGAGATGTATTCTGCTACATGTCTTTGGTAAAAATAACCCAAATTAGGATGTATTTTTTAGTTTGTTGTAAAGTTATAGAGTTCACAAACTATGGTATAGATCTGAATATTGATCAATCCTGAAGTACTGACGGCCAATCTAATTTCTTTGGATCCAAGAATGTCGGAATAGTACAGATATCCCGAAATGACCCCTTTTTGCAGAGTAGACAGTCGGACGTACTTCATAAGAGGAATGGCGAGTTTTTTGAAGTTGTATTTTTTTGTCATAATTTTTCAGAAAATGAAAAAATAAAAAAAATTATTTTCACTATTTCTTTTTTACATACTGTCACCAGTACAGTACAGCATCATCATATAACTGGCATGGCGGTGAACAGGGACACTGACTGGTGACAGTATGAAAAATATATGAATATGAATATGTTCTGCAAGGGCACAACAAAATCAATTGTTCTCTATATGCCCTGTTCACACCACAACACGCAAAGATTTTTTAACGCACAGTAATCTGCAACATGTATAAAACTTATAGGAGCAAGCATGAAAACTGATGTCTCTGCAAGTAAAATCCGTGTGTCAGTTTCAATCAATTTTTCTGCATGTATGGTGTCAGGCCCGGAATGGGACAAAAAATAAGCCCGGGCATTATGGACTGAGCAGCCCCAAGCCCGGGGACCCTTTCCAGTGGCAGAAGACCAGGATCGGTCGCAAGAGAGACCTTTGCGATCCTGGAAGTTCTGCCTCTAGTGTCAGCAGATTTTTATTTAATTTTTTACAATTTTATATTTTAGAAAGAAAGAAAGGGAGAAGGAAAGAAAGAAAGAAAGAGAAGGAGAGAGAGAAAAGAAGGAAGGAGTGAAAGAAGAAAGGAAGGAGGGAAAGAAGAAGAGAAAGAGAGAGGTGGGAGAGAAGGTGGGAGAGAAAGAAGGAGGGAGAGAAGGAAGGAGGGAAGAAGGAAGGAAGGAAGGAGGAGAAGGAAAGGAAAGGAATGAAGGAAGGAGGGAAAAAAGGAAAGGAGAGAAGGAAGGAGGGAAAGAAGGAAGAAAAGAACATATGAGGGAGGAAAATGAGGGAATGAAATATGGAGGGAAAGAAAGAGGGAAATAAGGAAAGAGGGGAAAGAGGGAAAGAAGGAAGGAGGGAAAGAAGAACGAATGGAAAGTAGGAAGGAGGGAAAAAAGGAAGGAGGGAAAGAGGGAAAGAAGGAGGGAAAGAAGGAAGGAGGGAAAGGATGCCGGAGGGAAAGAAGGAAGGAGGGAATGAAAGAAGGAGGGAAAGAAAGAGGGAAATAAGGAAGGAGGGAAAGAAGGAAGGAGGGAAAGAAAGAAGGAGGGAAATAAAGAAGGAGGAAGGAGGGAAATAAGTAAGGAGGAAAAGAAAGAGGGAAAGAAGGAAGGAGGGGAAGAAGAAAAGAGGGAATAAAAGAAGGAGGGAAAGAAAGAGGGAAATAAGGAAGGAGGGAAAGATGGAGGAAAAGAAGGAGGGAAAGAAGGAAAGAAAGAAGGAGGGAAATAAAGAAGGAGGAAGGAGGGAAAGAAAGAGAGAAAGAAGGAAGGAGGGAAAGAAAGAGGGACAGAAGGAGGAAAAGAAGGAAGGAGGGAAAGGATGCAGGAGGGAAAGAAGGAAGGAGGGAAAGAAAGAGGGAAATAAGGAAGGAGTTAAAGAAGGAGGGAAAGAAGGAAGGAGGGAAAGAGGGAGGGAAATAAATAAGGAGGAAGGAGGGAAAGAAGGAAGGATGGAAAGAAAGAGGGAAAGAAGGAAGGAGGGAAAGAAGAAAAGAGGGAATGAAAGAAGGAGGGAAAGAAAGAGGGAAATAAAGAAGGAGGAAAAGAAGGAGGGAAAGAAGAAAGGAGGGAAAGAAGGAAAGAAAGAAGGAGGGAAATAAAGAAGGAGGAAGGAGGGAAAGAAGGAAGGAGGGAAATAGAGAAAGAAGGAAGGAGCAGCCCCAAGCTGATACCAAGCAGCCCCAAGCTGATACCAACGTGGTATCCTCTTATTGCTTGGTGATTTGAATGTTGCTCTTAATTCCTCTGTCAACCGCCATTACCCAACGGGAGGTACCCCTAGCCACAACCTTTCTCAGGAATCTAAATTGCATGCTACGCTGCAAGCTTATGGTTTGGTTGATGTCTGGCGGGAAATGCATCCTACGTCGTGGGAATACACTTTTTTTTCAGCCCCATACTTGAGCTTTTGTAGAATAGATCACGTTTTCATTTCCTTCCAACATTTATCTTTAATTCAGAAGATTGTCATCTCGACCTCACACTGGTCTGATCATGACCCATTGGTCTTTTCACTGTGTCTTTCTGGTATGGCTGGGCCCTCTTTTCTGTGGAGACTCAACGAATCCCTGCTCACCACTCAGGCTTCTTGCTCCCAGGTTCTTTCGCACATTCAGTCCTATTTTACGGACAATGTGGGTTCTGTATCCTCGGCCGTTTCTCTGTGCGAGGCTCACATAGCCACCATTAGGGGTCATTTGATTCAAATCGCCTCATCAAGGAAACGGGCCAGAGAGAAGAGGATGTTTGAATTGACCTTGAGATTGGCCATGGTAGATGCTACTTGGAAAGCCTGCCCAACTACGGCCAAAAGCAAAGCTTGAGATGTGGTGGCTGCTGAACTTGATCTTCTCTCCACTAAATGATCTGAGAAGGCCTTACGTTGGGCCGGACATAGGTGTCAGGAATGGTCTTATCTCTGGTAGTGCTGGGGCTTACCGGCCTTGTGGGCTGCAGTACCAGTGCTGGCCAGCGGGTGCTCTCAGCAGCCAGTGTCTGACTCCTGCAATCAGGCCATCACCTGAGGCTGATTGCAGGAGGTGTATTAAAGCAGGATCAGGCCTGCAGTCAGGGCCTTGGTGTATTGCTCCCTTGTGCCCTGTATCCTGCCTGCCTGATGCTCCTGCTGGACTCTGACACTGCTTCAACTCTTCCCGTACCGACCCCAGCTATTCCTGACCACTCTTTTGCCTGCTCCTTCGTACCTTGTCTGCCCGTTAGCTACCGACCCGGCCTGCCTGACTACGTTTGTGCTCCATACATATTTATATCAGTTAAGGTTTGGGTTTTGTTTGCACTTCGTTGTACATATTTATATTAGTTTAGGTTTGGTTTGTTCGCACTGCGTTTGTGTATTGTATAGCCTTTAATAAATTATATTGTTTACACCTTACTTGAAGCCTGCGTTTCCCTGTGTCAGCCTGATGATCCTATCCAGCCTGATGATCCTACCCAGCCTGATGATCCTACCCAGCCTGATGATCTGGTGCTCGCTACCCAGCTTAACAATCCTATCCGGCCTGATGACCCGATGCCCGTTATCCAGCCTGATGACTCGATGCCCGCTTTCCAGCCGGATGACCTGATGCCTGTTATCCAGCCGGATGCCCCGGTGTCCGTTATCCAGCTGGATGCCCCGGTGCCCGCTATCCAGCCGGATGCCCCGGTGCCTGCTATCTAGCCAGATGCCCCGGTGCCCGCTGTCCAGCCGGATGCCCCGGTGCCCGCTGTCCTGTCGGGTGCCCGCTGTCCTGCCGGATGCCCCAGTGCCCGCTGTCCTGCCTGATGACCCGGTGCCCGCTGCCCAGCCTGAGGAACCAATGTCGGCTATCCAGCCTGATGACCCGGTGCCCGCTGTCCTGCCAGATGACCCGGTGCCCGCTGTCATGCCAGATGCCTTGACGCCCGCTGTCCAGCCTGATGACCTGGTGCCCGCTGTCCTGCTAGATGACCCGGTGCCCGCTGTCCTGCCGGATGACCCGGTGCCTGCTGTCCTGCCGGATGACTCGGTGTCGCTGTCCTGCCAGATGACTCGGTGCCCGCTGTCCTGCCAGATGACTCGGTGCCCGCTGTCGAGCTTGGTGACTCAGTGCCCGCTGTCGTGCCAGATGACTCGGTGCCCACTGTCATGCCAGATGACTCGGTGCCCACTGTCGTGCCAGAAGACTCGGTGCCCACTGTCGAGCTTGGTGACCCGGTGCCCGCTGTCGTGCCTGATGGCTTGGTGCCCGCTGTCGTGCCTGATGGCCCGGTACCCGCTGCTTCACCTGATGGCCTGGTGCCCTGTGTCCAGCCTGATATGCCTCCGCCTGCTGCCCAGCCTGATGTGCCTCCGCCTGCTGCCCAGCCTGATGTGCCTCCGCTTGCTGCCCAGCCTATCGCTTGATTCCGGCAGTGGGATGTCCAGCCAGTTACTGGACCCAGGCGGTGGAACATTTGGGCCATTACGGACTGTTTGGAGCGTCCTGAGACCGCTCCTTGAGGGGGGGGTACTGTCAGGAATGATCTTATCTCTGGTAGTGCTGGGGCTTACCTGCCTTGTGGGCTGCAGTA